TATGATTGGCCCCGGGAGCTTCCTGGTTTAAGATAACTGACTCTCACTTTCTATATAAACTAGCATCAGCTTGTAGTAAAGTGCTTCATCTTTGTCACTGCTGTCTGTACGTGCATTTTAATCTCCAACAACGAACCTTGGCCTTTCAGTATTTATTTTCTGTGCCTGAATATTCCACTGAACCTGAATATTTTTCAGGTTCATCCATGTTGTCACAAATACCATAATTTCCTTCTTTTTAAAGGCTGGATAGTATGCTAATGTGTATTTATGCCACATTATCTTTATCTTTTTATCCATTGATGGGCACTTATGTTCATTCCATAACTTGGTTATTGTAAATAGTGTTGCAGAAAATCCAGGGATGCAAGTATCTCTTGATATACTGATTTCAAATTTTTGGCATACAAACCTAGAAGTGGGATTGCTGAATCATATGATTTTTGTATGGGCTATGTTTTCTATTGTATTCTGCAATTCAGTCATTATATTTTTCATCTCTAGAATTTATATTTCTTTCTGTTTTTTTTTTCTATTTCTTTGTCAAACTTCTCATTTTGTTCATGTACTGTTTTCCAAATTTTATTTAATTTTTATCTGTATAATCTTGCAGTTCATGGTCTTTCTTAAAAAAATATTTTGGATTCTTTGTCTATTATTTCATACCTCTCCATTTCTTCAGGGTCCATTGTTAGAGCTTTATTAAGTTTCTTTTGGAAGTATGATTTGCTGATTCTTTGTAATTCTATGTTTTTGTCCTGGTGTCCATACTGAAACCAGATTTTGAGATAAAACTCTGTTCTCTACTTCTTTTGGTATGTGTGTAAGCTGCAGGCCTCTGCAGGCCAAGAAAGCCCCTTTTAGTTTTAGCAGCTAATCACAGCAGGGGATGCATACTGGCATCAGCTCTGAAGGCAAAGCTGGATTCTCCTCCACTATCATTGAGTGGTGTGTTGCTGCTTTCAGTTATTGCAGCTCTAAATGGGTGCTATGGCCCCCAATATTGCAGTAGGCTCTAGCAGCTCTAGCAGCAAGGATTTTGTCTTGCAAATCTGAAGAATAAAATTCACACGACAGTGGAAGGCCAGAGTGAAAGGAGTAGGATTTATTCAAGTATGAATAGAAACAGAACTCCTGTAGGGGCAAGAGGGGAACCTCATAGGGGTTACTGCCTGAGTGTGCTAATATATAGGTTTATGTAGCACTAGGGTTCACACTGTTGGTTCAAACTTATGCTGATCAGGATTTGGAAAAGAACTAACACTATTGGTTAAACCTTGAGCCTGAACTTCCATTCAAGTTTGTTCCACTTCTGTGTTTGTTGTTTTCTGATTGCCTTTAGCTCAAAATAATCTTTATGCTCAAGTAGCAAATTTGGGGGTAGCATATTCTGATTTCCTTCTATCCAAAGTTCTGTTTTTCTACAATTTGGTGGGAAACAGGAGATTGAGGTGGTCTGATTGTGCATGCTTGGGTGTGGCACTGTGTGGAGCAGGCACTGGGCCCAGTGTACGAAAGGTCAGCCAGCACCCCTGGCTTACCTAGCCTCACGCCCCAGAGGGTATGGCAGGCTTCATGTGGCCAGGGCCAGGGCTCCAGTCCACCTAGCTGCTCCTCCACAGCTCTAGGATAACTTTAAAACTTATATGGAAACAGCCCCTTCTTTATAGGTGTTCTTCAGAAGGGATAGACTCTCGCTAATTAGTGTGACCGATGATTCTGTGTGAGCCAGCTTCTAGTGAACCCAGGTAGTCAGAGCCTGCTTTTGGGTTTCTGCCTTTGCTTTAATTTCAAGTGGGGCTACTGACTCGGCTCTGCTTTTGAGTCAGAACTGTCTGAACTCTGCAATTAGGGAGAGTTGCTGGTTAGACATTGCAATCGACTATGATTGGAATGGGTCCCAGGGTGTATTTCCTGGCTAGATGGTACCAAAATTTGAGATCTTTAGAGGCCAGTCTTGCAAGCTGGACCTTGATGTTAAGCAGAGCTGCTGCTCAGTCTGGATGGAACCAGCTGCTATGCTAAGAAGTGCATAATCAAGGTTTGCCTTCCTGTCTAGATAGGACCTTGAGTTGTGTTTCACAGAGCACTGTTAAAACTTCCAGATGTGGCAGAACTAGTCCTTGCTCTTTGCTGAAATGTGCTGTGGTGGTTATCTCTCTCCCTGTACAGAGTCTTGGATCTGGCATTGGGGCTAGACCTGGAGGCTGGCTATCCAGGGATCCAAGCCAGTCAGAACTTCCCACACCACTCTGAGTGACCAGTTCATAGCAAGCATTGCTGTTGTGCACAGTAATGTTGTTGGCTGGTATTTTTAGGCAGGTACCCCTGCTGGCAGGTACACAGAGCTTCCACCAAGACCTGCCTGCTGTTCACCGTGAGCTCACCTCCTGTTTTGTTTCTACCTGACCCTAGATGATCTAGGTGGGCTTCTTGGGATTATAGTTGAATGCTAGGAAGCTACATGTCTGCTTCTGATTCTCTTTTCCTACTATAGAAACCATGAGTCCTAGGGATGCCTCTCCTTTGGCACTGTGATGACCTTTGGACACTGTGCTCTGATGTAGTCAAAATGAAGTCATTTATTTTAGTTCCGTGTGTGTGTGTGTGTGTGTGTGTGTGTGTGTGTGTGTTTGCTGGGGTAGAGGGAGGGAGGCTGACAGGGTAGGATTCTGTTGTCATGCAGATGCCTCAGGTTTATTTTCAAGTTTGGAGGTCTTCACAAAGGATCCTTTCTGGGGAGAGGGAATGGGTTGGTAGTGAAACCTGGGAGCTCCTATTCTACCTTTTGCAGGCATCTTGTGTCTTTTTTTCATAATGGCACCTTTCTTTTTGTAATTATGTCTAGATAAGTAGTCAATGATTATCCAGTTTATAGTCATTTCATTTTATCCTGTCATTCTCAACTTGGCAGTCAGTGATAGGAAAGCATCAACTGTACATCTGTACTTTTTCTGCCTGGTATGGTTAGGATACAGTATCACAATGCCAGTTTTATTTAGAGGATATACAATCAATCAACAAATATATGAAAAAATGTTCATCATCTCTAGCAATCAGAGAAATGCAAATCAAAACTACTCTAAGATATCATCTCACTCCAATCAGAATGGCAGCTATTATTAAGACAAACAACAATAAGTGTTGGCGAGGATGTGGGGGAAAAAGATACACTCATATATTGCTGGTGGGACTGCAAATTGGTGCAGCCAATATGGAAAGCAGTATGGAGATTCCTTGGAAATCTGGGAATGGAACCACTATTTGATCCAGCTATCCCTCTCCTTGGTCTATACCCAAAGGACTTTAAATCAGCATACTACAGGGACACAGCCATATCAATGTTTCTAGCAGCACAATTCACAATAACTAAACTGTGGAGCCAACCTAAATGGCCTTCAATAGATGAATGGATAAAAAAAATGTGGCATATATACACATGGAATTTTATTCAGCAATAAAAAGAGAACAAAATCATGGCATTTGCAGGTAAATGGATAGCACTGGAGAAGATAATGCTAAGTGAAGTTAGCCAATCCCCAAAAAACAAATGCCGAATGTTTTCTCTGATATAAGGAGGCTGATTCATAGTTGGGTAGGGAGGGGGAACATAGGAGGAATAGACAAAGTCTAGATAGGGCAGAGGGGTGGGAGGGAAAGGGAGGGGGCAGGGGGTTGGCAAGGATGGTGGAATGTGATAGACATCATTATCCAAAGTACATGAATGAAGACACGAATTGGTGTCAACATATGTTATATACAACCAGAGATATGAAAAAATTGTGCTGTATATGTGTAATAAAAATTGTAATGCATTCCACTGCCATTTATTTTTTAAAGAAATCAATAAAAAAATTCACACTCATGCCCTTCATTTTGCTTATTGAACATCGTATTTAACTGTTGCTTTTCCCACATCATTGGATTCAGTTTTGAAAATAATTCTTTACTCAATTATCATAATAACCTAAAGCATTTAGATTAAATATTATAATGTGACTTTTTAAGATATTTATAAGTATTTTTAAATTTATTTGTTATCACTGTGACTAGTAATTTATATTTGCATTTTACTTTATAGTTTTTAAAGTATCTCTACTACCTAATTATTAAACAATAATGGTTGGTCCTTTAGCTGAAGGAAAAGAGCTATTTCTGTATTAACTTAGGTTCTGCAGCTGGGGCCTGCTAAATAATTGATAATGGATTACCTGAGAAAAGGCATGCAAACTTCATTTGATATTGATAATTTAATTTTTATGTGCATGGAAGCTTTCATGGAAATGAAGATTCCCGCAAGGCTGTTAGACCTAGGGTCTTACAGTTTATATGATATTTCTCCATAAATTGTAGACAAGTGAAAAGACAAAGGAAAAGGTGTTTGATCTTCTTAGGGCACTAAATCAGGAAAAGATTATATATATAGGAAACTAATGGCAGAAGTTTATATAAGAATATTTGTTTGTACAGACCTATCTCAAAAAGGACCTTCTTGGCTGGGGTTGTGGCTCAGTGGTAGAGTGCCTGCCTAGCATGTGTGGGGCACTGGGTTCGATTCTCAGCACCACATATAAATAAATAAAATAAAGATCCATTGACAGCTAAACAATAATAAAAAAAAAGGACCTTCTGTCTCCTATGATAAGGGTTCTTCTCTTGGTATGGGTGAGGAAAGACGAAACATATTCACAAAGGGAAATTTATGTCTTACTTTAGGCAGACTGGGAGAGGACAAAGCATTCTCTCTGTGTTTGTTGTTTTCTTATTGCCTTTAGCTCAAAATAATCTTTACACCTAAGTAGCCAATTTTAGGGTTGCATATTATGGTTTCCTTGTATCCAAAGTGTAAGAAGTAAAAGCATTAGACATAATGCTATGACCGTAACAACCATTATCATCTTTTACCTCTTTTTAAACAACTAAAACCAATTAAGTTCTCTTTATCAGGTATCTTATGGAAATGGATTGGGGTTTTGACAACCTATGGTTTTTGTTTATAGGTGAGAGTATCTTAGTTTGTAAGAACTCTGAGAAATCAAAGGGCATAGCTCTACTTCAGGGATCTCTAAAACCTGTTCGCAGCTGTCTGCAAAGACGAGAAGGAGAAGAAGTAACTGCCAGTATGATACGAGCTATTCTGGAGGTAAGACAGGGTTCAATAAACTACCACTTGGCTCTTTTATACCTATGTTAACATGGTAGTACTTTAGTAGGTGAAAATATTTTTGTTGTTGTATGAGGAACAGAACTCAGGAATGCTCTACCGATGAGCTACATCTTTGATCCCCTCCCCCCTCGCTTTTTAAAAATTCTAGGACAGGATCTAAATTGCTGAGGCTGGCCTTGAATTTGAGGACTGGCCTCCTACCTCAGCCTCTTGAATAGCTGGGAATACAGGCATGTGCCTCTGTGCCTGGCTAATATGTGAAAAATCTTGTCTCTCTTTCTCTTTTTAAATTATTTTATATTTTTAGCCTTCCCAAATCTGAATTTGTACGTGTTTCAGCTAGTGCTCTATCAATTCACTTCAAAATAATAATTAAAAACTGAATGCCAGATGGTTCTTTTCACTTTTTAGATATTCTTTATTGTTTTTTGAAGTTAAAGGTAACAAAAAATGTACGCAATTCCTCCATCTAGATCATATCTTATGACACTAAAATAAAATCATGGTACAACTATATATGATTAGAAGTTTACAATAATACAGAAAAATCTCAATAATATTCAACAATAGTACAACAAATTCTGTACAATAATACAGAAAAATAAAACCTTTCTTTGCTCAGATTCCTCGAAGGTAACCCCCTGATGATCATTTCAAGTTTGATTCAGACTTGTTTTTTGTGCTTATATCAGCATGCCTTGGTGTTGCTTTCAGCACCAGTACTAGTGATATTGGTGCCTCTATGTGAATTCTTTTCTAATCAGTTTGGGAAAAAAAGAAAATACTTGATAACATAGGGTCAGGAATGATGTCCAAAGTAGACACATTGATACATTGCTGAAACTCTTTTGGAGAGCAATTTGGCCTTACCTGCTAAAATTGAAACTACATATACCCATTTGCCTAGCAGTTCTACATCTAGGAATTTTATCCAGGAATATATTTGTGAAATTATATTAAATTAAATGTAAAAAATATTTTTATAGCACTATTAGTTAATAACAAAAAAATGGAAAGAAACTAAGATACCATTAATACGAATTTTATGGCAAAAGATGCTTTGTGGTCATTAAAAAGCTCTGTGATGATATGTGTCCAATATAAAGTAAAAGAAGGCAAGAGACAAATTTGTATATATAATAAAGTAGCTATGGGTAAAATAATATCTGCAATAAGTGACTTCATGTTTTCTTGCACCTATTCCCACCTTTCTGTGTGGGAAGTATTCAATAGTAGCATTCCTCCTATGTGTCTTAGAGGAAGGATGAAAACATTTGATTTGGTTCATGGCCTTGAACTATCACTACCTCTTTCATGTGTTTTGTTAGTTCTGAAATTTCAAATGGATAATGATTCATTTATTTTTGTTTATAAGCAAATACTATGTCTACCTACCTTGAGGGAAAACTTTTCATGTTGTTAGCAGGTACTATCTATATTTGCAGTATGTGATGATGGAAGAGAGTTAATAAGAGTATCTAAGATTCTGAAACCATTTTAAGAGAATAAAATCTCTTATATTATGAAGGCCTGTATATCTTATAAAAAATTTACAGAAGTTTTTAAACATTTTCTATCAGATAATAGTTGGTGGTGTGGCAAGTACATCAAAAGATATGCAGATGTATGCTTCTTGTACATTTTTGGCTGCGAGTATTAAAGAAGGGAAGCAGGGAATTCAGAGAAATCAAGATTCTGTCCAACTTGGAGCAATCGAGGCCTGTGTGATGTGGCTACTAGAAAATGAATTCATCCAGATTACAGAAGACAGTGATGGAACAGAAGGTAAATATGAGTTCTCAGTTAAAATTTATTTACTGTTTCATCTTCTACTCACTTTTCTGAAAATCTTGCTTATAAATTTCTGCATGTTAGGTAAGATTCTGTTTGTAAAATTGATGAGAGCTGAGAAGGTTAATACAGGAATATAGAAAGACAATGTTTTGTTTTATTTTATATTATTTTTAACATTTGCTCCTGTGTTTCTTCCCTCCCAAACCAGGAAAGGTGTATCGTCCAACACATCTTGGTTCTGCTACCCTTTCTTCATCACTTTCTCCAACTGATACCTTAGATGTTTTTGCTGACCTCCAAAGAGCAATGAAGGGTTTTGTTTTAGAGAATGATCTTCATATTGTCTATCTGGTAAGTTCTGCCTTTTTAACTTTTATATTTGTGCAAATTGGAAGGAAAAAAAAAATAAAACCTTGGAGCATCAAAAAACACCTAGGGAACATCTTGTCTGTTTTCCTTGATCAGGTTAGTAGTGGTGGGAATAGCAAAGAAAAGGCAAGGAGAGAATTGTTTTAAATAAGCTAAATCTTCAGTGACCTTTTAGTTTATTTTCTCCAACCTGTTTAAAAAGGGATTTGAGATAGTTTATAAAAAATAATTTATTTTACAATATGTAAAAGAAAAGCAAAAGACAAGGGATATCAGAAAATTAAAGATTAACATAATACAAAACTCATGAAGAGTTAAAGAGGCATGCTGTTACATCATATGCTCGTGTCAAATTTGGTTCTGAATTTTCTAGCAACTAAAGGAGAGAAACTTGATTAGTCTCCATATTAATAAAGTAAAATGCATAAAATTGCCTAAGAGAAATTTAGTCCTAAAATAATACTTTGGGACTCATAGTATTGATAAATCTCTATAATAAATGCAGAAAGGAATTTTAAGTTTGTTTATATTGTACCATCTTCCATTAGTGTAACAAAGATTTTGATAAGAATTATAGAGTTTGAGGCCATATTTTCTAGCAAGAACTTGACTAGATAGTAATAGTAATTATTTTTATCAGTTAAGAACAGATACAAGTCAGGTGCTGTGGTGTGAGCCTGTAATGCCAGTGGCTTGGGAGTTTGAGACAGGAGGATTGTGAGTTCCAAAGCAAGGCACTAAGCAACTCAGTGAGACCCTGTCTTTAAATGAAATATGAAAAATAGGGGCTGGGGATGTGGCTCAGTAGTTGAGTGCCCCTGAGTTCAATCCCCAGTACTAAAAAACAGAAAGAAAAGAAAAAAAAAGAACATGTACATTCACTTTGGTAAGCAATTCCGGAGAGGTAAAATTGAAATTTTTGTTAGAATGAAGAAGGCCTATTGGGGAGTGTACTTTTAAAACACTATATAGTGAATAGAGGGGAACTGTCTAGATAGTGTATTTTTTCTTTTCACAAATATACTTAATAAATGGATGATAATGGGCTATGGACAATCAATGGGCCAAAAGTTCTGTGTTCTAAAATGTGGCTGGGAAGATTCTCTTAGCAGGCCTTACCAATCATCTACCATGGCCTTAAAAATAAGTCTAATTTATCATACAGTGGCCAAGTTTGTGAGGTTTAGGGTCAGATTGCCATAATTTGACTATTGGCCTCATCACATATACCTTGGATCAATACTCAACCTCTCTCAAGATGCTCTTTCCTTATTTGTAAAATGGAGATAGTAATAATACCCACCTTGGGGCTGATAGTCTTTGATGAATGTTTGACATCTTAGTAAATATTTAATACATTTTATCTACTTTTTTTTTCTAGTAAATTCTCTATAAGCATTATGTAAGTCATTTATCAAATCACTAATTACTCCTATCCCTCTGTGAAATAAAGACCGATCCTAGGCATTGGAATGCTGAGTGCTTATGGCTAGCAGACTCCTGCACTTCTCTTGCTGCTTGAGTTGTATGCCCTTCGAAAGTTAATTTCATTTGTTCCCAAACTTGTTCATGCCAATTTATGTCTGTGAAAAATAGGCTGAATGCAAATTATTAAAAAAATTGCTAATTAAATATGTGAGTGGGACAACTATAAAAGCTCTGAGAAAAACTTACAAAGTGTAGAAAAAAACAGGATACTGCTTATAGATTATTTTGCAGTTATCTTTTTATGTATTTCTAAATTCACTTTACAAAACAGAAGCTAGAGTTCTTAAGAGTGCATTGTGGGTGTGGTTTAACTAAGAAAACAATGATAAATTCTAACAGACCTTAGAAGGTCTTATAAGGAAGGCTTGACCCTAGCTCAAAATATTAGCAAATAAATATGCATTTATGTTTTAGGTTAAAATATTTATACTTTGCATATTCTTTTTTATTTTTTGAATATTTAAAACATGTATATGATTCAAAGGTTAGAAGTATATTAAAAGAAATAGAGAAGCCAGACTCCTGTATCTCTGGCATGGTCTTCCCACTCCTTTCGTAAATTACTGTTTTCATTAGTTTTGATATCTCTCTTTTCTTGCTTCATCTTATAAAAATTAACAAGGAGTAATGTGTAATCTTCACCTTCTTTCTTTTGCAGATGATGACATCATGCATACATTGTTCTATACCTTCATTTTCCTTACAATGTGATGTATCTTGGAAATCATTCTATATCAATTTATGGAGAGTTTTTTATTTCTTAGTTGTGTAACTCTGTTGAATGGGTACAAGTACTGATGTTTATTCAATCAGTTCTCTATTGATGGACATTTGGATTGTATCCAATATTTTGTTATGGCGAATGATGCTGCCATCACACAGTGTTTAGTATTTACAAAGGTTTATCTTTGGCACAAACTCTCAGAAGTATGAGATTGCTGGGTAAAGAAAACCACAAGTGATTCTGGCTTTGCTTGATTGCCCTCCATAAAGTCTGTATCATTTTCCAATTTTGTCAGAGAAATATGTTAGAATTTGTTTTTTGCTCAGCCTTATAAAAATAGATTATATTGTCAAGATTTTGAATTTCTGAATGTAGCTTTAATTTACATTTAATTTAAAATGTACATAATAGATTGTATATTATGAGTATATGTGAATATTTTTCATATGCTTAAGGGCAATTTGCTCATTTTTCTATTGCATTTTTTGGTCTTTTATATACTAGGGAGATGTATGCTTTGTGGTGTAACTGGAAAGTATTTTCTTCCTGTTAGTCACTTTTTTGTCTTTGCTCGTTGTGTTGTATCTAGAGCATTCTAAAAAATGCAGCTAAAGTCAAGAGCTTTTGAATTAATGAGAAAGTCTTTTCTTGCTCTGAGATCAATAAGGAATTCTCTCACATTTTCCTCAAATATAATCCTTTTATTCTGAGCTGTGCTTTATTTGGAGTTTACCCTGAAGTATGATTCTTTAATTTTTTTCTTATTTTCCATAATGGTTATCTGCAATTCCAGCATCATTTATTAAAAGGTTCATTTATTCATAATGATTCAAGATGACAACTTTTATATACTAATTTCCCATTGAATTTGGGTATATTGCTAATTTCCATCTCAATTGGATATTTTTCTGTTTTATTTGTTTGTCTGGAAACAAACAAATAAGATTATTTTGTGTGGTAGTACCTCTGTTTTAGTTAAAAGCTTTTATCGGGCTATTTTCCCTTCATTGCTTTTCTTTTTCATTATTTATAGGTATGCTTGTTTACTCTTTAATATAATGTTTAGAATTAACTTGGTAATTTTTATTGGTATCTTTAAATTTTTAGTATCACTAATAATTCTAGTAATAAATTATAATAATATAATTAATATAATAAATTATAGTAATTATAATAAGTGATGGTAGTATTAATAATTGGTGTGTGAACATGAGGGGGACTTCCTTTTTCTTGTCAAGTTGCCTTGCTCAGGGAAAGGAATGTTTCTCTTCTGTTTAAGTCTACTTTTGGGCTCTCAAGGGTATTTTGAAGATTTTCTCAGATTTTGAGCATTTATTTATTTTTTAAACAGCTTTATTATGATATAGTTTACATATGACGTGTATAGGGTACAAATCAATGCCTTTTTATATATTTACAGAGCTGTGCAATCATCACCAACATGTGATTTCAGAACATTTTCATCACCTCAGGAAAAACCCTGTAACGCATCACTCCATATCTAGCAAACCACATTTTCCTCTAGCCTCCTCATTCTCCTCCAGCCCTGGGCAATCATTAATGTATTCACGGTGGTTTTTGTTTTTATAAACTTTTCCATTGTGTAAATTTTATATAATGGAATCATATAATGTGTTGTCTTTTATGACTGGTTTCTTTTACTCAGCATGATGTTTTCAGGATGCATCTATGTTATAGCATCTATCAGTACTTAAGTCCTTTTAATTGCTGAATAATGTTCCATTATGTGGATATACCACAAAAACTTTTTTGTATATATATATGTTCATCATTTGATGGCATTTGGGTTGTTCCCACTTTTTTATTATTATGGATAATGCTTCTCTGAATATTTGTGTACAATTTTTTACATGGATGCATGTTTTGAATTTTCTTGAATATAACCCTGGGAATAGAATTGCTAAATCAAATGGTAATTCTATTTTTAATATTTTGAGAACTCCAAACTATTTTTTTTTTCAAAATGGCTGTTGAATTTTACATTCTCACCAGCAAGTACACAGTTCTTATATGTTTATATTCACATTAATGCTTGGATCAATACTCAACTGCTCTCAAGATGTTCTTTCCTTATCTGTGTTTTTGAATGTAGCCTAGTGAGTGTTAGGTACTGTCATTATGGTTTGACTAATGATGTTGAGCATCACGTACTAATTGGGTGTTTGTATGTCTTCCTTAGAGAAATACCTAAATAAGTCCTTTGCCTATCTTATAATTGAGATGTAAGAATTGTTATGTATTTTGGATATTGATGGATGATTTGTAAATATTTTCTTCTTTTCTGTGGGTGGTTGTTATGGTTTTGAAATGAAACATCCCCCAATAGCTCTTGTGTTGAAGTCTTGCTCCCCAGTGTACACAGTACAGAGGTGGACCTTTTAGGAAATGACTATTGGATCATGAGGGCTCTAACCTTACCAGTGGATTAATCCATTTGATGAATTAATCATTTGGACTATTGGGAGGGATTGGAGGTTGTAGGAGGTTGGCCCTAGTAGAAATGACTGGGTCCTTGGTGGTGTGCCCTGGGGACGATATCTTATTCTCTAGCTCTTCCTTCCCTCTCTCTTCTCTCTTTTTGCCTCCCTTTGCCATGATGATCTGCTTTACATCAGGCCAAAGCAATAGATCTAGTCAACTGTGGACACAACTTCTGAGACTGAAATAAAAATAAAATCTTTCCTCCTACAAAATCAATCTTTCCTCCTTTAAGTTGTTTTTCCCCAGGTATTTGTCACAGTGATAAAAA